AGATCTTTTATTTATTAAACTGTCAAATTTTTATCACTTAAACGTCAATCCTAGTGGATACTCGTATTTAAATAGACGCTCCGTTTATTTATTAAATATATATATATATATATATATATATATATATATATATATATATATATATTATATTTTCACCTACCGACCTGAATAGTAGAGAAATATTAATAGAAAATTATGAGCTCTCCGGCAGGATTCGAACCTGCATCCTCCCAGATGAAACCGTCATTTGATCTGACGTACTTTGAACTCTCGGCTACAGAGTACGTCGATGGCCAAAAATGTCTGAATAGTGACTTTAAGCACTGATTTTTCTCCGACTCGTAATTTTCATATCTGCTCAGTTTCGAATCTTAATGTAAACAAAGCAATTTCTAAAGAAAGGGATGGATTTTTTTTATTTATTAATCGGACAGATAAATATTATTTTTAGTGGATACTCATATTTGAGTAGACGCTCCGTTTATTTATTAAGCAATGTTTTTTATTTTTTTTATTTTATTTTTTTGTCTACCGGCCTAAATATTCGAAAAATCTTATAAATGAAAAATAAGTCAGAAAGTGAATATTTTCCTCTAATAAGATCTCTTAAAATATTTAGGTCGGCAGACAAAAAAAAAAAAAAAAAATAAAAAAAATAAGTAAACTGGGGGCGTCTACTCAAATACGAGTATCCATCGAAGATTTAGGTGACAAAATTATTGAAACATGTAAAACCCGTAATGTATATAATGTTGATATACTTACATTATATTTGTTCCAAATGTTGTCAGGTGGTACAAACTTTCTCCAATCACGCGTAAGAATTTAATAAACTCCTATGATAAAATGGAAAATGCTAAAAAAAAAACAAAAAAACTTGTAAATCTTTAAATGAACCTAGCTGTTTAGGTTTATATGAAAAATTACAATTAAAAAAAAATAACTTTATGTCTGATTAAACTACCTCTCCCTTCAACGCCCTTTCAAAAAATTGAACGTGCCATATTTGTCTACAATCAAGATACATTTGTCGCTGACATATTCTCCGAAATCGTCAATGATGGCCTGTCTATGTTCCGGTTTATCATGACATGAAAAAATAATTCACCCACCTCTGCACTCTGAGGTTACTATTCTATTTAGCGTAGATCTGACATTTAATTGGTTAATCAAGACATACCCACAAGTCTGTTTTTAATTCTGACCTTATGTATCCACCACTTTAAAACTTCGTTTTAAAATTTTCTTAAAAATCATTTAATCACCAGTTATTTACCATATCCTGAAGAAGTACAATCAAAGTATTGAAACATGAAAGCTTTTGCGTAGCGATTTCAACATGTTTTTATTATGATCTCTTATAATAATAATAATAATATCACTAAAACGCAAAGCTCTTCAGTAAAATTAGCAGTTTCGTTCTGCTGAGTGCTGATGGCTTAGGGGTAGAAAACTCCGACTAACACCGAATCGCTCGGGTTTCGATCCTGGCTTAAGGCTCTTAAGCGTCTAGTCGCGCTGAGGAGCTGCGAAATAATATTAATAATTTATTATTAATAAATATGCATATTATTCCTCACCAAGAGAACAACTCGGAGTTTCATATTTATATTTACATATCTGCGTGTATTTTTCCAGATTTTACGGCAGATGCTGCTTGCGTTTGGCGCCACGATAACAATCCTGTTTTTGGTTTATCTCTTCATTCTCACACCATGGGTAAGTAAAAATAGAAAATATCTTCTGCTACAGATAAATTCTATCCGCCATGTTTTCTCACAAACATGTACGACAGTTTTTGGTACTTGACAAATTAATTTTTAATATTCAATGAATTATTTAAAATGTCTTCGTCTTTCTAAGATTTGCAAATGAGTTGTTAATATTCAATGAATTATTTGAAATATATTCATAGTTGGTTAAGTATAATGCTTTCGTTGCATTACCTAAATAAATATTAGCCCTTACTACTCATGAGTTCATTAATGATTCTGTTTAGAAGGGAAAATATTCGATTGTAATATTGAGCTTTTTTTAATTTTCTCTTTTGCAGCTACTGCAATTTCTGCTTACATCTACAAGAATGGTACATTTATTGAACTGATGAGGGCTGATCCTGTATATCCCGAGGTATTTTATCTATCTATCTATCTATCTATCTATCTATCTATCTATCTATCTATCTATCTAATAATAACAAGTAAAATTAAATATCAACTTATTCTATTTTCGCTATGAGTTTCGCGGAATGACATCCACTTTTCAAAAGAGTCAAGCATCAGTTTCTTTTGCTTTTTTAATAAAACCTAGCAAATTCACTTGTGAATTGATGAGACCATACGGCCAATCGAGTACTGCGCTTAAATACATAAAATCTAGATACCATAGCGAAGAGTTTGTACAAACAATTCCCATGAAATTATTTATAGAAAAGACACAGGTAAGCTGCATTACGGCGATGGGAAAGTGACTGAAGCCGAGATGCCAGGTCAGGACTAATAATATTGCTGATCGCCATATCATATGAAACTAGCTCACTAAATTCACGATGTGAGTGCATTATCTGATGATATCTCTTAATAAATCTCATTGACAAATGAATATTTGAATTTAATATATTTTTCTTTCTTTTTCAGCCTATTATTGATATTTCTCACCGAAACCTTGTATTGGAAAAGGGAGACATTGTGGTACGTAGTTTTGGAAGGCCGAAAACTTTTCTACCTTTCTGTCTCTTCCTCCCCCGCTTTCTTTTCCTCGACAGGACGTTTAATTTAATATTGCATCAACACTATTATATTCGTTAATATCGAATACACGCCCCCTCCTCCTCCTCCTTCTTTTTCTCCTCCTCCTCCTCCTTCTTCTTTTTCTTCTTCTGCTATGTGTCGTGTCTTTTCAGGTCTTGGGCGATCAGGTCTCTCCACAATTTCCTGTCCTTTTGAGTCCTCAGTATAGTTTGCCATTTAACACTTTTTAGGCACGGGTGTATGAAATTAGTAGGTGTAGACTGTTGGCCTGGTGTACACCGGAATATATATATATATATATATATATATATATATATATATATATATATATATATATATATATATATCAAGTATGTGGTGCAGTTCAATTTACATTACATAAATCATTCATACAAAAAACAGATATAGAATTTAATGATTTAAATGGCGAGAATACATCTTCGCAAACAATTTTAATGAATTACATTAACCCCGAACCTGTAGATGAATGTTATAATCCCTGTTTATAATTTCCAGTTGCATAAGGTCTTTTTTAGTTTTTTACAAGCTTTCGTCTGTTTCTACAGACATCTTCAGGTATGGAAATAGATTTGTTTTTGTTGTTTACTTCTCGGTAATAACAGGACAACGAAAATATAGATGTAATCCGAAAAAATGCTATGAGAAATGTGTTATTGTTAATTGTAAGAAATTTTTTGGGAGCGTGCGGTCGCAACGCTGAGGTTGAATTTTTAAATTTTAAGATTGTGCGTTTTTGTACTAATATGGTAATTTGAGAATTCTTTTGTACTAGTAGGTTTTTCAGTCAATGTGGCATGAACTAAATTGTTCAATAAATACAGGAATGTCACACTTATTATCCGAAAGTTGCACCTTGGATCTGTTATATTAATATTATTATATCATTGACTGTTTTATAACGTTTAAAGCATGTCAGTGATAGTCATATTCCGTTAATGAATCGACCGCCGCCATATCTATCTATCTATCTATCTATCTATCTATCTATCTATCTATCTATCTATCTATCTATCTAATTCTGTTCCTATCTATCTATCTATCTATCTATCTGTCTGTTGTGCTGTCCTCCCTCTAAAGAGTCTATGTTGGACTCTTCCGCCTACTATAAGATTAGTAGGTAAGAAGGCCTTTGGGGAACAGTCGAATAGACTGAACGCTGGGTCAACCGATACACACTCACTTTTCTGTTGTACTTACTGTTTAATATACGATATATCTGTAACACTGGTTTTGTTATTTCTTAACCATTTACTTGGTTACAACACTATCTATCACATTCTGTTAATATCTATCTTTCTTTCTATCTATCTATCTTTCTGTTCATATCTATCTATTTATCTATTGATCAATCTATCTATCTCATTCTTTTCATGTATCTCTCTACCTATCTCATTCTCTTCATATCTATCTATCTATCTATCTATCTATCTATCTATCTATCTATCTATCTATCTATCCGTGTCTTTTAATAAAATGAATCTATCTATCTATCTATCTATCTATCTATCTATCTATCTATCCGTGTCTTTTAATAAAATGAATGTATCTATCTATCTATCTATCTATCTATCTATCCGTGTCTTTTAATAAAATGAATCTATCTATCTATCTATCTATCTATCTATCTATCTATCTATCTATCTATCTCATTCTCTTCATATCTATCTATTTCATTCTGTTCGTATCTATCTATCTATCTATCTATCTATCTATCTATCTATTTCAGTCTGTTCGTATCTATCTATCTATCTATCTCATTCTGTTCGTATCTATCTATCTATCTGTCTATCTATCTATCTCATTCTGTTCGTATCTATCTATCTATCTATCTATTTCATTCTGTTCGTATCTATCTATCTATCTATCTATCTATCTATTTCATTCTGTTCGTATCTATCTATCTATCTATCTATCTATTTCATTCTGTTCGTATCTATCTATCTATCTATCTATCTATCTATCTATCTATCTATCTATCTATTTCATTCTGTTCGTATCTATCTATCTATCTATCTATCTATCTATCTATCTATCTATCTATCTATCTCATTCTGTTCGTATCTATTTATCTATCTCTCTCCCTCTCTCTCATTCTGTTCATATCTATCTATCTATCTCAGTCGGTTCGCATCTATCTATCTATCTATCTATCTATCTATCTCATTCTGTTCATATCTATCTATGAAATTTGCATGAAATATTTAAAATATTACTTTGTTCTTGCAGATTATGCGTTGTACTCTTACAAACCCCACAAACAAGATTGCAAAATTCGGGTAAGTAACGTCATAGAACGTCTAATGAAACAATTACTAACCCCAACCCTAACCCCAACCTTAATTCAGGGACTTCTAACTCGAGTTTGGGAACCCCTTCGGTTGACCTCCACTACTTCCTATCTTTGACCATTAGGGAGCGATTGAGTGGTTATCACGACCGCTGAGATCGATTGGATGACGTGAAGCAATTGAGTGATTTCTATCTTCACTGGGTACGCCATATTTTCGGCCTTGTGCCACATCTAAGCTACGCTTAGAAAATCGCCATTAGAAGGAGACACGGTAGTGCAATTTATTGTGGCTTGGATTGAGGAAACGAAAAGACGAGTTCCAATTCCGGTCAAGTTCAATACATTCCTTTACGCGTTATCACCCTTGATATGAACCCATCTCTTCTCCCCTCCCCCAGTTATAGGTAAATATTTCAGCAACTAGTTAAAAAAAAAAATGATACTATGCGCACCTCATTAAAAAGGGGGATTTGATTTTATCTCTATCTCAAATATTTCTATTTAATAGGTGCTTCTTGTTGAAGACTAGTTTTCTAAGCGATAGCCACTTTGGCCGAAGGGGAACGGGGTAGTAAAGTAGTGGATGAGGGTTTGTTTTGGAGATGAAATGCCAACAAAACCAGATTTATCCGGGTGTTGGTCACTCATGCTTCAGATCGGAGTAAGTTCTGGCGGGAGACGGACTTTTCGTCACGTGGTTCCTGTGCCGTCCATTCCTATTGCCAGCCACCACGTCAGACTGAAAGGATGAGCGAGAATTTGGTAGCGGGGAGAGCTGAGCTGTTAGTATCACCTACCTACACACACAGAATAAAACATATATTTAATATCTGTCTATATTTCTATTTTTTTAAACTATTTACAGTATTTACATTGTTTTGTGATGTCAACGAACACTCGTTGCCACTTTTGTAATGCCAACGAATGCTCGTTGTCATTTTCGTAATGCTCGTTGTAGTAGAGACTTTGTAATCGCAGATACAACAATAGTAACGCCGTTGAACAATACTGTTTTCATACGCCTTCGAATATCCCTCGCACTAATAGTACTTGCTCGATAATACTCGCTCGAATAGTAACCAACAAATAGTAATTAGTATCGTTATCAGTATAGAGAAATATTATAGTAAACAGTATAGAGGATAGTATAGAAATGGCGATCCTCCAGACGTCACGCGAATTCCCATATATGTGTTGCTTCTATGGTGACACATTCAATAATGGGATCGCTTGTGTTCAAACTCAAGTGTCCGCAGCGACACTTTATTCCTATATTGTACAAACTGTTGTCTTCATCTTTATTGTCATATTCACGACGTTTCGGTCGTTGTACGCTCCGACCTTCATCAGGGTTTGTCTTTATTTCTGAGAAGAGGTATTGTAACCATGTGCAGTATTTACATTGTTTGGACTGTTGTCATTATCTTTATTATTCTGTTTTTTTGTTGTTGTTTTTTTTTTCCAATCTAATATTGACCTTTTTCTTTCAACAGGTTCGAGCACACTGATCAAATGTGTGACTTTTATTTATTTTACGGAATTCCACCAGACGATTATGAGTCTTATGATCAAATCATCTGTGGCCGAGATGCACAAAAGTTCCACTTGAAAGACATAGTTCTACCGGAAGATTCCACAGTTCCAGACAAGGAAGGCTTTGCAAAACTGATGGCGTCATATAATTTGACAAAAACAGCATATTAAACAAAACCAGAGCTTGTACAAGCATCAAGAACTTTTTATAATTTAACAATCTCTGCTTGGTTATCTTTAGAAATACGATCTCAGTGTTTTGTTGTTTAATTTTAGATTGTTATTGAACTGTTCATTCCATTTTCCGTTTCGTTTCGTAAATTTGTTAAAAAATAAATGATGATCTTGTTGAAACAGTGTCAGTTGTGTTAATTAAAGTACGAATGCAAATGTTATACAAAAATGACAGAATTTCTCGAAGATCCTTTGACATTAAATAGGTTTTCAGAAACAGAAACCTGAAAAAATGACTTACCATTTTATTACCTGGCGTTATGCTGGGGGTTTTGACAATTATTGGATCGTTTTTGGCCTTTGGCTGAGATTCGATCAAGGCTTTAGCTTGCTAGGACAAGTCATGACCAGGTTTTGACCAGCTTGGACATGCTATGAATTTTGACCAGAAACCTTTGAGTGGAAACACTCGGGTTTCCCACGTTAATCGACCTTGTGTCACATCTTGACCTTTTAGCCAAGTAAATAAAATTTGTACAAAAAGTGTTTTTTTCAAAGAGGGACAGATTTGATGAAGGGATTATCCGTTAGGGCCAACCATTCTGCTTGGCATTCTTTGAACCATTAAAATTTAATGCAAATGAACTATCTTAAGAAAATTTTATTGCAAATGGCATATTTTCATTTCTTCACATGAATGACAAATAAATTTAAACAAGTCTTACCAAAATCACTCAGCCTGCCATATTTGAAGCCCGTATAAGATGAAGCAAAATATGTCTGAGAAAAAAAGAACTTCTAGGAAACTATAACATATTTCAGGTTAATCTTAAAAATTACATATCATTCGTAATTAATGTTGTCAACTTTTAAGTTAAAAACATATAAATAGGAACATAACACCAACATTCATCTTATTAAGAAGCAGAAAATAAAGTGGCACACGTTTAAGTCTCCAAATAAATTTATAACTGATTTTGATCATCACAAAACAAATTTAATTCACTAAGATTTTAGAATTAATTCACCGCAGATAACCAAAACAAATAACTTGCCTGCACTAATGGGAAGGGTGGTACTGAGATCTGGACTGCAGTATTTAGGCCAGGACTGGTTCAAAGGCAGTGGTCTGGTCCAAAGGAGGTGATTTTAGAAATCGGCTGGGAAAGGCCAAGATCAGGGTCCACCACCAGAAGGCAGCCACTCAGTGCTGCTGCCATCTTTTGGTAAAACATGAAATTGCATTTCTTAGGTTTGTATTTTACATACTTTAATTAGCAATATGGCGGTCTTTAATTGATACTTTCCATGACAGATGATGGGTGGGGGCATATGTAATTTGATACTCTACCGTAATTAACACCAGGGTTTTGAACTTGCCTGATTTAATAGATTGATTGTCTTGTCTGTATAACGGTATAACAACACCTTAACGTCGAAATTTAATTGTATTGGGAGCTTTGAAGTAATAAAAACACGATAATGTTATTCTGCTTTCACAATTGAATACATGGTAGAAGATACTCAGATTTTGTGCCTATATATGTTTGTGTAGACATAAATTCCTGGAGGCGGTGTTATGCGCGTTTTATGTTCTAGATTTGTTGAAATTATATTTTGGAATACAGTTTGATTTCAAGAAATTGTAAGATATTATATGGATTAATGTCATGAAAGTGTTCTTTCATATTGTTTGTTTGGCTGATTTTCTTTAGCGGCACATCAACAACTCTATGGGTTATTTAATGCCGAAATCTAAATATTTTGAACACAATTTTATGGCTTCAGCTAAATATATTTTGAACACAATTGTATGCCTTCAACTACAAATAAAATGTATTGTTGGTCATTTTCCTATAAATATGTATTGCTGGTCATTTTTTATATATATAAAATTGTTTTGCAACATCTCCAGAGTGTTTTATTTTTCTTTGGGAGTCACTATTTGCCCATAGCTTGGAACCTAACGGGTGCTACCACCCCGGATTAGAGTTGTTCTGGGAACAACAGCAATTAAGAGATAGTTGTACACTCCTCAAACCTCCAATCCCCCGATCAGAGGCCTTGCTGCCGGATGTAGTTTATCGTCATACCCAGGACACCATGTATGCGACATACAAGTTAAAAGACACATCATATAGAAGACATATCAACATGATGAAATAAAGTAGAAAATTTATTAACGACGCGTTTCGTCAGGGAGCGTATGCTCTCTTTGGCTTCCGCATGTAAGAATGAAAAAAAAAACAGTTTGAGGAACAATGGCTTGGGTTCTCTGAGAATAAATGGGTATCATAAATCAAATTAAATTACCTTAGCTTATCATCTCCCAATATCCAGACGTAAGAGAGTGTTTGTTTGTTTTATATATATCTATATCTATATTAGAACAGTTTGGTCTTGTTGGATTTTAAACCAGAGATTTTGTTGTGATATACATATATGTAATTGCACACCCACCCAGGTATATACATATATTAGAGCATTTTTATGCTTGTACGTACATGTACATATATACGTATCCACTGATATATATATATATATATATATATATATATGTGTGTGTGTGTGTGTAGGTGTGTGTGTGTGTGTGTGTGTGTGTGTGTGAAAGTGAATATGTATATGAAATAAATAAATATATATATGTATAATTATTTATATATTATATGCGCGGTACATATTAGAAAGCGCCCAATATCAGAGATAGACCTAACACACACACACACACACACACACACACACACACACACACACACACACACACACTATATATATATATATATATATACCTGTACATACATTTACAAATCAAGCACTCGTCCGTGCATTGAATAATGTTGCCATATCTGGTCTGATGATTCTGCTACTCATCTCGAGGTCCTTGGCAAAATCCAAAGAAAGATCTGCAATGTACTCGATCTTGACTTGGCATCTCGACTTCAGTCACTTTCTCACCGACGTGACGTGACTTCCCTCTGTCTTTTCTATAAGTATTTTCATGGTTACTGCTCTTACGAGCTTTTTTTTCCCCCCAGGTGCCTCGACTAGAAAAATTTATGCATGCTACTCGATTGGCATCTAGGTCCCACTCTTTTACTGTTGAAATAGCCAAATGCAACCGCTACTTCTACTCCAACAGTTTCATTTCTCGCACTCCCCGCCTGTGGAACACTATTCTGTTTACTTACTTCCCTGATAAATACAATCTTCAAAAATGTTAATACAACGTCAATGGCCACCTTGAATCCCGTTCATCTTTTGTCCTTTCCTCAATTCGCTGACTCTTCACTCTTTGTAACTCCCCAGGTACTAACGGCATTCCTGTCTTGTTTGGGTGAAATGAATAAAAACAAACAAAAACATATATATATATATATATATATATATATATATATATATATATATATATATATTAGGTTGGTGCAAAAATAATGACGTAATAATGTCGTTTTTGACGTATTTTTTAACGTTAAAAACGATATTATTACGTCATTATTTTGCACCAATATATATATATATATATATATATATATATATATATATATATATATATATATATATATATACGTATATTCTCATCATAGAACCTTTTTTTATGCATACTCGTAAACATATAACTATTTCTTATATCTATACCCACAGCCATTCATATAAACACGGCGAAATGAGTCGTTAATAAATTTTTCATCTCGTCTCATCATCTTCACGTTTATTTCGGATACATCCGACAATCAGACATAGAAGACATTTAAAGAGACGCACCATTTTGGAGAAATTTAAGGGACAACTTAAATAGACGGGTCCACTTGTTAAAAAATAGGGAAAAATATTTGTATTCAGATTTCAGACTGTAGCCTGTTGTGTCGATTCTCAATTTTTCTGTCCGTCGCGAATCTTGGGCGAAGAATCCAAGCATTAGAAATTAAATGCTACACACCAATCCGAGGCTTACAGTCACATCACGTTGAAGTTAAGCAATATCGAGCCTTACCGTTACCTAGATGGGTGACCATTTGGGAATATCAAGTGTTGCAATCTTGGATGTATAGGTGGTGAAATGGATAATGGCTCGGAATTGTAAATCGGAGAGCCGAGTTCCAATTCCAGTTGGGTTCGTTATATTCACTTACGCGCAGATACCCTTGGGAAAGGTATCAATCCACTTCCTCCCAGCTATGGGTTAATTAGTAAGATTTGTATCACTAAAACCATTATTTTCTGAAAAAATAAAATTAAAATTGCGTACAAAATATTTAGATTTCGGTGTTAAATAACCCATAGAGGTGTTGGTATGTCGGTAAGAGAAAGCTAGAATCATATAGACACGCCATAAGACTGTCCTGGGTATGAAGATAAACTCATCCAAGAATCAGGATCTGGAGGTTTATGAAGGACTACTTAATTGATATCCAGAAATGACGCAACCTATGGATAAAACTATAAAAAAAAAAAAAAAAAAAAACACTGTGAAAGTGTAAAAATAAAAAACAGGTAAATCATATTTATTGTAAAATTACCAACAAACAAAACAAAAGACCAATAATGTAATTATATAGAGTTACCAACGACAATTTTATATGAAAGACAAACAATACATTTTATCCTGAAGCCATATGTTCAAAATGTTTAGATTTCGGCATTAAAAACATAGAGGTTTTGATATGCCGCTAAACAAAAATCAACGGCAGCATAAAAGAACTTGAATGTATAAAATATTTTATAGTAAAAATACCAGCAATACATTTTAACAGTATAAAATATTGAGGCAGAAATGGAACAATTAAATTACTAATTCGCCCAAGAAAATTAAACTTTGATTAAATACCCTGACCTGGGGTGGTAGACGTCATAAGAGCCAACAATGGTAACCCCACCTTTTGGTCATAAACGGTTGTACGCTCGGTCTTCAGGATCTGTCTCATATAATTCAAGAGATTTCGGACGCTAGGTAAACCTATTTACTATTATTCAGAAACATAAATAGAAAATGAACTTGCAGCGTTTAGGTGGAGATGTTAGAAATATAAAGTTGAAGTAGACTTTAGAAGGAACCGGAAAGCCAATCGTAAACAGTATATAAGGGATAAAACTCTCCTCCTGTTCAAAAGACCGGGGAGGAGTGTGAACCGGACGATAAGTAAAAATATGTACTTGAACGGGAAACTCAGTGTAGGTTCGATTCTTGCGTAAAGTTTTGGGATATGGATTTTTTTATTTGGGGAGAAAGCCTAAGAAATAAAACGATGAAAATATATTGCTTACAAATTCAACTCAAATAAATGAAACAAACCATTTTGAACGAAATTAACACGAGTTAAGTCACCTGACATTTTTTTTAAAGATGACCCATTTCTCTTCAGTGATTTCTGTTTGAATTTGATGCATCTCTTAATGCATACGTTAATTTATTCATACGACAATAGCAGGCAAATTGATTGATTTGTTTTTATGGCTTATCAACCCCTGCGTGTTATTTAAAGCCAGGAAATATTTTTAGATTATAAGAATTCGTTTTTAGATTATAATGATTTAGTGATACAAGTTTTATTAATTAACCCATAGCTGGGAGGAGAATAGGTGGATTCATACCTAATCAGAATTTAATAAGCAAGAAATGTATAATGTGGATATAAATTAGGGGATCAGTTACATATCACAATCAATATATAGTTTCTATCCATTTCTATTCCAGAGAATGTAAATAAATCTAAAAGACATGCCTGTGTAGCTAATCAGTATTTCATTGATTGATTGATTCGTTTTTTATGGCTTATCAATAAACAAGAAATTATAATGTGGATATAAAGTGAGGGATCAATTCTGTATTAAAATCAATATATAAACTGATCCCTCACTTTGAGGCCACGGTTGCTCCTATACATTTCTATTCCAGAGAATGTAAATAAATCTAAAAGACATGCCTGTGTAGCTAATCAGTATTTCATTGATTGATTGATTCGTTTCCTACGGCTTATCAACAAATAAGAAATTATAATGTGGATATAAAATCGGGGATCAATTCTATATTACAATCAATATATAAACTGATCCCTCACTTTGTGCCCACGGTAGTTTCTATACATTTCTATTCCAGAGAATTTAAATAAATCTAAGACATGCCCGTATAGCTAATCAGTATTTCATTAAATGATTGAGTCGTTTTTTTACGGCTTATCATCCCTTTGCAAGTTATTTAAAGCCATAATATACTTTTTAGAATATTTTTAAGATAATAATTATTTTCTGATACAGCACCTAATACTTAACTCATAGCTAGAGAAGAAGTGATAGATTCATTCTCCTAAACGAACCAAACTAGAATTTGAACTCGGCTCTCCGTTCTCCAATTGTGAACTATTTTCCATTACACCACTCGCACACCCAAGCTTACAGCATCTAGTAATCCCAAGAGGTCACCCATTTAGCGTTCTGACCAGGCTCGCATGTTGCTTAACCAAGGTGATCGTACGAGTACCGGTGTTTCAACGTGATACGGCCGTAAGCCATACTTAACATAGACCACAAGAGAGCTAGACGTCTGAAGATATCAGCGCGTATGACGGCCTCCTCAAGAAGCCTAGTATAAAAAGTAATGCAATATATTAGCAATTAATAAGGAAAGAGAAATGCCAGTAAAGCTGTAAGAGAAGCAGCAATAAGAGAAACCGCGGTGAGTGTAGACAAGGGCGATAGTAGCAGGTAGATTCAAAGCTCTAAGTTCAGACTGTGCCTCAAAAGCCGAGTGCAAGGTTTCTAAACTTGGGGTCCTGTGTTTCAGGGGGCCCATGAAGATTAACTAAAAATTAACAATTATATCCGCTGTACAGCCCTGGTACCAATCAACGGTTTCTCATTGAAAGAAATAAAAGAGAAATGCATCTTGCCACTGCTTGAATGTAAACGTACCCAGCAACTACTTACAGTGCCGACCGCTAGGCTTGCTGTTTGTTTCATATTTACCATTTAAATGTGTGTCATCATTTCCGACATCTTTTGTCACTCCATAAGAACAAGTGATTCCCATTTTCCACGGTTTGTCACGGTTCGATTATCTTCTCATATGAAAAAGATTAATTGACCACAATTTCTTTCAAGCGTGGCTGGATGAAAAGTGTTGTGTGTGCATTAAGGTGCAGCATAGAAAAATGCACATACAAGTGTTGTGGAAAACCAATGACACTGTGAATATCTGCTTGTCTGCTTATCTGTCAATGAAGGGCAAGTTCTCATAGGGTTCCGTGGCTCAAGAGGTCCGTGCCTCAAGAAAGGCTTAATGGATTGCAGCATCAGCAGCAGGCAGTATAAGGCTACAAGTTCTATTCTCATATTGTCCCACAGTAGCCTAGTGGATTAAAGCATTTCTATTGGAACTTGTTGCGGGGGAGGATAATCAGTGATGCTGACAAAAGGCCATGCAAAAATCCTGGGATATCAATGAAAATGTCACCTTTCAGCTCTTTTCTCAAGTTAATAAGGACTATTATTATTTTTTTGCAAAAAGTGATCTTTATTATTACATAAATTATTACAAAACATCAAAGTATGGAGTTTGGTTGTTTAGGGTTGCTGCCTTTTTGCTCAAATAAAGATCTCAGTTCGTTGTGCCATTTAATGGACCAAGGTCCAATTTTTCTTATTTGGAATTTTCCCCCGTTGTTCTTGGCAGTAATTCCAAAGCCCTAGGAGATTACCTGGTTTTCGTAGGGGCACTTTATTACAACAACAAAGGAAACAACAGATTGATTAAATAAATAGACAATACTAATTGGCTAGTTTATCTTTCATCTTATTTTTGTTGCATTTTATCGTAACACTCGTTTGACGTTCTACGACCTGACTGTTACGATCACGAGCAACAATCTCCCGATAAGAGATAAAGGAGGCAAAATTTTATAATAATAATGGATATATTTGTAATTTTTTTTAGTAATCCTCTGCCTTGAGGGGCACTTGAGCCATTATTGGATACACAATAGTAAAAACGCTTGTCGTTTCTACAAAAAAAAAAAAAAAAAAAGAACCGTGTTATCTAAAAATCAGCATGTGAGATATTGGGTTCGATTTGGGATCGAACCCCAATCTTTCACACTAGAAATACTCATCTGTTTCAGTCATTAGGGAAACTATAGGCTTTTAAGTTGGCATTTTCGTAATTAAATGGATATTGTATGATAACATGAGAATTTAAACGTTCATGTTTAAAATTTATCTGTAATACTTCGGTAATTTCTGTCAGTTAGTATATATAGGGTGCGGCTACACGAAGCCCATATCCGGACGCACGTGTACAATAAACCCTTATCCGGACGTACGGCTACACGAAGCTCTCATCAAGACGTACGGCTACAGGGATTTCTCATCTAGGTGTGAAGCCCTTATCCTGGCGTACACGAAACCCTTATCCAGATATGCGGCTACACGGAGCCCTCACCTGGACGGGCGGCTATACGAAGTCCTCATCCAGACGGGCGGCTACAAGGAGAAATCCGGACGTACGGCTATACGGAGGCCTCATCCGGATGTACGGCTAGTAGGGGCCTTTATTCGGACGTGCGGCTACAGGCAGCCCTCATCCGGAAATACTGCTATACGGAGTATTCATCCAGACGTGCGGCTACAAGGAGATATCCGGACGTACGGCTATACGGAGACCTCATCCGGATGTACGGCTAGTCGGGGCCCTTATTCGAACGTGCGGCTACAGGTAGCCCTCATCCGGACATACGGCTATACGGAGTATTCATCCAGACGTGCGGCTACAAGGAGAAATACGGACGTACGGCTATACGGAGCCCTCATCCGGATGTACGGCTAGTCAGGGCCTTTATTCGGACGTGCGGCTACAGGCAGCCGTCATCCGGACATACGGCTATACGGAGTATTCATCCAGACGTGCGGCTACAAGGAGAAATATGGAGCCCTCATCCGGATGTACGGCTAGTCGGAGCCCATATTCGGACGTGCGGCTACAGGCAGCCTTCATCCGGACATACGGTTATATGGAGTCCTCATCCAGACATACGGCTACAAGGAGAAATCCGGACGTACGGCTATACGGAGCCCTCATCCGGACTTATGGTTAGTCGGGTCCCTTATCCAGACGTACGTCTACCAGGAGCCCTTATCCGGACGTGCGTCGAATCGTCTATATTTCTTCCGTATTCCAATTATAACGAGGTATTTCCACTTTATTTCCAAAGAACCGTTTTTTGGGAATCAGACAGAAATGTTTCTAGGTCACAATTTATTGATATTGAATCAATTGCTAGATCTACTGCTAGGAAAGTTGGTTCACTGTGACATGCTAGATATTTTTTTCTCTCCAGAATGAATCTTGCACTTTTCTAAGTTTACTATTCGTCCTTACATTGAATATTGCTGCCACATCTGGCCTGGTTTTTTCTGCTATGATTTTAGCGATTCTTGATAAAATCCAAAGAAGAATCAGCAATGTTATCGGTTCTGACCTGGCATCTCGGCTTCAGTAAATTTCCCACCATCCTAATATAGATTTCCTGTGTCTTTTTATATAAATACTGATGAACTTTCCTCTTTGGCATGTAGACTTCATGAATTTAAGCGCAGTACTAGATTGGCAGCAAGGTCTCATCATTTTGCAGTTCAAATGGCCAGATAGAACCGTAAGTTCTATGTTATTAGATTCTTTTCTCACACTTCTTGTTTGCCGGACTCTCTCCCGGCTTCTTGCTTTCCAGTCAACTTTGATCATCAAAGACTTAAATTCAATGTCAATAGTTATCTTATGTCTTCTTAAACCCTATTCTTTCATTATCCTCTCTCCTTAATAGTAGTTTTTCTCTTATTCTCTAACATTCAGTATCTCCTTGTGTCTTAGTGGCTTTATTGCCTTTGATCTTCAAAAAATTTAAATACAGTGTCAGTCGTTATCTTCTGACTTCTTAATTCTTGTTCTTTTATTGTTCTTCTCTCTTAATAATATTTTTCTTTTTTTCATATTCTTTCACACTCATTAACCCTTTGCGTCTTAGTAGCTTTATTGCCTTACTAGAGGTTGCGATGATTTTTTAAAAAATGGTTCTATTGGAATTTTTGATAAAATCTCAGCTTGAAGGTTTCTTTTTGTGTGGCCAGATTTTTGAGCCACCAATTTTGGTAATAAATATCTTTATAGGGCGTGTGATGAATATAACATCTTTGACAGAGTTCAACATCTTTGTAATTAACGCCGGTGCGTTTTCCTCTAGTTTGCTGTCGTCCCTGGACCGTCGGTTGAAACGACTTGGTATCTAAGCCCGGTGTACATTTGAAGAGACGCTTTAGATCGAGTTGAATCTTTTCCACTTCTTCAGCGTGTCTTTTCATCATGTCTGTCTTGTAATTGTTTAACAATCGTTCTTGCGCCAGCATCCTTTCGGACAAACCGGCATTGGAAATACGAGTCCTTTCTGCGATTTTGGCATCGAGGCGCGTGAAAATATCAGGGCGGATGGACGTCACAAACACAGGTGGAAGGTTAATAGTACTGTGGTTAAAATCCATACTGACCATTGGTCAGTTCAAAAGGCTTGATTGCCTGCAATCTTCATCATCATCTTTTGACCTCCCTAGGGTTTGTCGAAACTCCATCGACAATTCCTTTCCACACTGTTCTGTCCTGTATTGTCGCCCCCAGATCCCCAATGTCCAACCCAGTGTCCCGAGCTAAGGTATCTGGAAAAGTCAATTTTCGTGAGAAGACACTTCCAGAAGGATGCCATAGGAGTAAAGATAGGACGAATATCCTGTCCGTTCGGTGGCAGTGGTCGACAAACTGTAATCGTTTTTGTTTGAACTTAAGAGAGATAGTTCTTCGTCGATTGTTTTAAGCCGTGCACGGTATTTCCAACTGATGTTCTGGATTTTTCTAAGTAGATTTGTATAGATTACATCCAGTCGACTTTCAAGACGAACAGATAATGCCCAAGATCCTGATCCATACAGTAGGACTGGCTCAATGTTCGAAAGGTTTGGACTTCTATGGAAGATAGAAGGTTCAAGCGCCAAATCTTGTGAAGTTTATTACACGCATCCCATGCAAGAGCTCTGCGGATGTTGAAACCTATTTGGGAATCTATTATGTAAGATCCAAGGTATTTGAAGTCCTCAAATGGATGTATTATTGAGTGAATTCCGCGGAAATTCAAATTCCAAGTTGGGGTCTGGCGCTGGATAATTCACTTCATGCCTTGAAAGAAGTCTTTAGCCTTGGGTGGCAGTCTTTCTAGAGATGATGTCTCGACAAAAAACACCAGGATGTAGGGTTGTCTTTCCATATTTTGTATCAGCTACCGAAAGAACTCTCATGGCGTCCACTAACTACACCAGGTTTGTCTGCAATAGAAAGTCAAAATCACTTAGTAGCAAAGTTATTTTTACGCATTAACCATAAAAACACAAACAAACAATCTAGCTTCAAATAAATGTTATCAAAGTTAAGAACATTCTAAATATTTTTCAATAAAAAGCCAGCGACACGTGAAGACGCAGAAACGCAATATATGAAAATGAAGAAACCGATATAACGTCAAACCCCAAAAATGTTTGACAATGGCTAGCGATAACTGAAAGTAATCAGACTTTGGACAATATATATATATATATATATATATATATATATATATATATATATATATATATATATCATCCTGATGATCCTGTGTAGTGACACCTAGGTAGGTAGTACCTGGCTCATTAGGATTTATTTATTTTACCTTTGCTCTACTTAGCGTATTGAGCACTCTTCGTTTTAACTTACTACACACTCGTTTTTTTCTTCTTTGTACCAGAAATTTAAGGTACTGGACAATTTCTTTCGCCCTGTTCGGAGGTTTCTGGTTCTTTCTTTTTTTCCCTTCCAATTTTTTCCTTGAATGCCAATTTGTATGAAAATTGTGTTATCCAGGTTTTTTTCACCCACCGTGTTTACATTGTATATAATAATAATAATAATAATAATAATAATAATAATAATAATGGACTCTTCCGTCGGTTTCGACGTATGAGGATCTGACAGCTTATTGATTCAGTTATGAAATTTTGTGCGATAATCTTGTGGCATTTAAGACCTGCTAGTGATTTACAAAGGAGGCCACATATGGAGCAAGTGTGAGGATTGTAAGATAAGATCACTGTTAGATTGGCTGACCTTTTAGATCTTGCTCTTGCTTCTTGAAGATGATTCAGACAAGCAGATTGAATATATATATATATATATATATATATATGTATGTGTGTGTGTGTGTGTGTGTGTGTGTGTGTGTGTATGTGTGTGTGTGTGTTTGCCTATCGTCCGGTTCAGCCTCCTCCTCGGTCTTTTAAGCAGGAATAGAGGTTTGTCCCTTGTTTCCTGTTTCCACATATGGAGCAAGTGTAAAGATTGTGAGATGAGATCACTGTTAGATTGGCTGACATTTTAGATCTTGCTCTCGCTTCTTGAAGATGATTTAGACAAGAAGATTGAAATATATATATATATGTACATATATATGTGTGTGTGTGTGTGTGCGTGTTCGCCTATCGTCCGGTTCAGCCTCCTCCCCGGTCTTTTAAACAGGAGTAGAGGTTTATCCCTTGTTTCCTGTTTCGGATTGGGTTTCCGGATCCTTCTAAAGTCTTTTTCATGGTCTTTCACTCCCTGTAACCCCTTGTGTCTTAGTGGCGTTATCGCCTTGCTTGGGTAGAATTAACTAAATAAAAAATATTAAATATTTACCAAAAACCAAGGAAATGACTCGAAAAATGAATAAAAAGTCTCCTCCTCCTTTCTTATTCCTCTCCTCCACTTCTTCTTTCTTCTGATCCTCCCCCTTCCTCATTCTTCTCCTCTTTCTTCGTCTCCTTTTATTCATCCTCTCTTCCTCCTACTTCTTCCTCCTCCTTCTTCTTCTTCTTCTTCTCTCCCCTTCATTCCTCTTCTCCTCCTCCTTTCTTCTTCCTCTCCCCCTCCTCCTGCTCCTCTTCTTTTTTCTCCTGATCCTCCCCCTTCCCCATTCTTCTCCTCTTTCTTCGTCTTCTTTTCTTCTTCCGCCCCTCTTCTTTCTGCTTCCTCTCTTCCTTCTTCTAATCCTCCTCCTTTCTCCTCCTCCTTATTCTAACCCTAATTCTTCCTCTTCTCCTCCAACTTCTCCTCATCTTCTCCCTCCATCTTTCTTTCTTTCCTCCTCCTCCTCATCTTCTCCTTTCTTCTTCATTCTGTGCCACGTCCCGTCAGGATATAGGCGATTATGTCTCTCCCCAATTTCCTGTTTCTCTTGGTAAAGTTTTACTTTTAGCTATCTCTCCTCACCCCTGTCCTGCCAACAATTTACACAAACCTGTGAAAATAGTTTGTCCGCTGCTTCCATCTGATTTGAAACACCTGCTGCTTTGCGGCCATAGCCAACACTGAAATGGCCATGGAAGTAAATCAAGGCAGAAAACCGATAAGGCTGTTAACACCGACAACATTCCGGCAAATTCTGAAGCCAAGACGGTCCTCATTTTTTAAAATAAGTTCACCCAAAGCAAGGCAACTAAGCCACTCAGATGCAGGTGGATTATTGAGTGGGAAAGAATAAGGAAGCGTTATTAAGAAGCAGGAACGATAAAAGAACATAAAGTTTTGAAAATTGTAAAGCAAGAAGCCGGAAGAGAGTGTCACAAGCGTTTTTATATTACCCCTCTCCTTCATACATATATATAATTTCATCAACAAAAATATTACTTTAGTCTGATTTAATCCCAAGGAACGAAACGCATCACACAAAATTTTTACACTTTGTTATTAATTTGCCTAACAATAATCCGATATATAAACATTTATATATCACATCCTCTCCTATATATATATATATATATATATATATATATATATATATATATATATATAAGTTGCAAATTAAAAAATAATAATGTTCTTTTATTAAAGTATTTATTTATTTGTATATATATATATATTTGATATTTCAGATTGGCCTCAATCTTTCTTCAGAAATAACTGTTTGTTTACAAGTAGCGTCCGTCGCGAGATGCGGACGTCACGTGATATGGAACAAATATTCCTAACGTAATATCTTAGATGTTGTTTAAAAAATTAAAAAAATAAAATAAGAAATAAAAAAAAAATTGAACTATATCTAAAAAATGTTTAACTATTGAAATATTTATAAAGATTTAAAATACCCAAGTCTTTATTTAACCCTAGTTTATATGTATTTAATTTTAAAATCCAGTATTTTTCTTTTTTTCTGCGTGTGTATGTGGAACTGAAATCAGAATCTATCAATAAACATTTACAGTTTTCTAATGATTGTCCTGATTGATTAAAGTGCTCAGCTATGGGGGAATAAGGATTGTTTGACGTATGGTTTGTTTATGATTGTTGAAGCGAAATCTAAAATTATTTCCAGTTTTACCAATATATCCACTATTGAGACATATTGTGCAGAATAAATAGTAGATTATGTTATGGCTATCACAGGTGAGGCGAGGTGGGTGTATCTTGATATTGGTGATGGGTACAGAATATACATTATCTTTTATTAAGTGTTTACAAACTAAGCAACGAGGTTTGTTACATTTGTAATTTCCTGATTGGTTTGTATTGTTTAGATATTTGGTAGAGTTGAGGATAGCTGATAGGTTAGGTGATTGTTTTTTTGCATTTATGGGTGGTTTATCGAAAATGTCTTTAATCTTTTTGTCTAACTGGAGGTTCTTGTAATCCTTTTTTAAATTGTGAATAAGTGTGTGGGAATATTGATTGTGGTTAAAAATTATATTATATTGGTGAATCTGAAAATAATTTTAGATTTTGCTTTGGTTGATTTGAACCTTTTAAAACTCTTTATTCTACATTCAACACCATCACTTGATAAGGCACCATAAGTGTCGAAACAAAATGGCTATTTTTGTAGTGATTTTATAACATATTTATGTTAAAATTTTCGAATAAATTATATTTGCCCTACTCTGTATGGAACACTCTTTTAAGAATAGTACTTTTGGTTATTGGAATTTATTCCGTATACAACAATCCTATATATATATATATATATATATATATATTACAAACAGTTAATCATACCTTGAATCAATTAGCAATATTAATGCAATTATTGGCGAAATCCCTTCGCTAGTAGACATAATTATAAGCATTATACTACTAATAATCCACTGAATGATGGTAAAACGGTAAAATCGACCTTGCTCATCGAAACGCTCCTCTGTGGCTAAATTGGTAAAAGCACGTCAGGCTAAATGACGGTCCCGTATCAGGTACAGGTTCGATTCCTGTCGGAGGACGCCTATTTTCTATGAAGATTTCTCGGACATTCAGGCGAGTAAACGTCGTTAATACTGTTTATTATGAACAGGGAATTTACTTAAATATTTGTATCTATAAAAATAATGTATAGACAGAAAAATATCAAATATTTATATGTATAAATATAATTTTATATATATATATATATATAATATAATATATATATATATATATATATAAAATATATATATATATATATATATATATATATATATATATATATATATATATATATATATATATATATATATATATAAATGAACAAAGTCCGACAATTATTTTAAGACATTTTATGTGGCTAAATCTGTAAAGCATGTCATACTATGTGACGGTTCCGTGTAGGATACAGGTTCGATTCGTGTCGGAGGACGAATATTTTCTATGAAGATTTCTCGAACTTGACCCCTGTGTCCACTTTTCTATTTACATACGCTCTATCCCTGATATTGAGGACTTTTAGCCATCAATATAGCATACCTTAAAACAATATTTCATCAGACAGAGATATATATATATATATATATATATATATATATATATATATATATATATATATATATATTACTTCAAAATTATATATCTCGTCTACCTGTCATCAAATTCGACAAACAACTATCTGTACCGGTATACTTTAACAGCTAGGCCACGGTTTTAATTCATCCCCCTGAAGAAACCGGAAATCCCATCCTAAACGCGAGACAAGGAATAAATTATTACTTCTATCTAAAAGATCGGTTAGGGTGAGAGAGAGAGAGAGAGAGAGAGAGAGAGAGAGGGGGAGAGAGGGAGAGAGGGGGAGAGGGAGACAGAAAGATAAAGAGTGATGAGGAGAAGGTTCAACGTGAAATTGTGGCTAAGGAAATCGTCTTACAGACTATTAAGATTCTTATGATTTCGATCTACAATGGGTTTCCCATAGTCTTTTGTCAGACTTGGCTCGCCTTATTAATCCTAATTCGCTAGCTAGACTATAGAAAATGGTTTATTTTTTACACGGAAAATTAAGTGTATGGTGTGACGGGCGTGGGCATGTTTTGTCAGTCAGCAAATTAAGAAATGATTATATTTTTTACTTTCCACCTGTCAGACATTTAACTGGTCATTTGAAAATACTATTTATCAAATTAAGGAGAAATACATTTTAAAACAGCAAAACAATAAAGAAAAATCCAATTCTCGATCAAGGAAGATTTAAAAAAAAACTTACCAGATTTGTAGAAAGTGAATCCGAATGTTAATTAAATAAAAAAAAATCCTTGTTTTTGGAAATTACGACCTTCAAATGGGTAAATGTTTTCCGAAATATTTAAATTGTTTTCTCGCATTTTGATTGGTTGTTAGCGTTCTGAGAATTATAACGATTTCCGCGCATTTTACGAGACGAGAATTTCTTTTGGCGGGCGTTCTCAGTGAGAATTTCACTCAAAGGCGTGTTAATCATTCATAAACTTTGTGCTGTCAAATTAAAGAGAAAATAATATAAAAATCGAGTAATTTTCAAGCAACATGCGATAAAAATGCTTTGTTGATTATAAAATTGAATGTTTTCAGCTGAGGATTTTAAAAAGCATTTTTTTGCAAAGAATTTTCAAAATTCAGTTTGAACTGAAAAAGAAAAAAATGAGAATGTTTGTCGTAATTTTTCTGTTTAAAAGATGTATACTTTCTCCTTTCAAAACTTAAATGTTGCTTTGCAAAAAAAAAGACAAAATTATTGATAACATCACTGAATGTTTTTTGTTGACGATTTCAAAAAGTTTTTTTAAAAGAATATTCCGAATTCAATGTGAAGTAAAAAAAATGTTTGCCGTTATTGACTCTGTTTAAAAGTCGTTTTCTTTCTGCTTCTCTTCACTCAAAGGCTGCCACTGAAATCGATGGATCAAGCCGGGAAAGTGTTTTACAGCTTAATTCATTAGTTAGTCCTTTTTTTTTTTTTACATACGCCTGACCAATGGAAAGGCAGATCAGACATTTGGTAAACCGAGCCTCGTTCTGAACAATACATGTAGGTACTGCCATATTTTGGCGGGAAGAACAGCATAGCGTGATGAAAAAAGGCCTCAAACTTAATAAAAACAAAGTTTTGTCACCAAAATGTTTATGTTGTTATTAAGATGAAAGATCAAAGTATTTTTTAATTATTTTTTGAAATTTTTTAATCCTTTCCGAAATTTTGGTTAAAAATCTTGTTTTATTTACGTCAGCGGCCAATGTAATGATAAAGGTTAGGGGTTTTTTTTGCGCTTTTTCCGGTGAAACACACATTAATTTGGAAATTTTTGCAAAGATCAAATAATTGTCGGATTTTAATGAAACTTTCAGGACTTAATCAGAAATGAAATTATTTTTGAAATTTTTCTTTTTAGAAAATCTTGGTAAAAAATATTTTTTTAATACCTGTTACCACCTACTTACTTAATTTCATGAAATTTCGAGAAATTAAATCTTCAAGAATGCTTTTTCATTTTTAAAAATTCATTTTAAAACTTAGGTTTCGATAATTCAGTGGTTGTACCTAAATTACAATTAGGCAAGGTAACTTTCAACAACTTCCGTGACTGTATCTGTCTATATTTCTGAGATGAGGTATTATGTACACTATTTATATTATTCGGACTATTGTCCTCATCTTTGTCGCCATATTTATTACAACGTTTCGGCCGTTGTACGCGCCGGCCTTCTTCAGGTGGTTGGAAAGTCGAACTGAACCGTTTATTTCGCTCACTGGGGTAGACTGTTCTAGTTCCACGTGCCATGTTTAATGGATGTCAGTTATCAGTTATCTCTTGTTAATTTCCCTCTAAAAGTTCTCCACTGCCTTAACCGGGTATTGAACTCACACTCTTTGGGTCCTGTCACTGGATCTAACCAACGCCTTTATCCACTGTGCCGTATGTCCTCAAAGATCACATGGTACAGGAGATAACTGATAACTGACATCCATTAAACATGGCACGTGAAACTAGAACAGTCTACCCCAGTGAGCGAAATAAAGGGTTCAGTTCGACATTCCAACCACCTGAAGAAGGACGGAGCCTACAACGGCTGAAACGTTGTAATAAATATGGCGACAAAGATGAGGACAATAGTCCGAATAATGTAAATAATGTACTTCCGTGACTGTTTTCCTGAATATTGAACGGTGGGGATCAGAGAAATGAAGGTGATTCATCTAAATTAGCAGATACCAACAGATGATTGCTTTTATATACTGATGTTCACCCGACACAAGGCACAAGAGACACTCATGGTAGCCGGTTAATATGTGGTGTTGTATGTGTGTCAGAAAAATCAAGAAAATGTTGGAACAAACTGTTATATACTGTGTATGATTGTACGAGTAACAAATGATTAAACAACAAGTAACTTAGATGTGGCACAAGGCCGAAAGCATTGAGCACTCACAAAGTTGAAACTTTTGTCTGGTAGGTTGACTGAAGAGCCACCGGTGGAATATTTACTAACCGCCCCATGTAGGTCAAAAATTCCCCGTAGACCCCGTAAAAACGGGGTCGAGTAGCTGTGTCCCGAGACGAGACTCTGCCCTTCGACATATCACCGTCTGTGAACTCTGTGAACCCTAGTGAATGGTGAACGCCTGTGTTGTCGAGCGAGTCCTTTTAAGCAGACAGGGTGGATACATGACTCATAGTTTTTGTCATGTTTCAACTTTGTGGGATCGATTCACTTACGGTCACATCACGTTGAAACACCGGTTCACGTACGATCACCGAAGTTAAGCAACGTCGCGTCTTGTCAGTACCTAGATGGGTGACCGCTTTGGATTTAGCGGTAACGTTGGCTCAGACGTTTAAATTTTATTTTATATTTATTGGGGAGATTTTTTTTGAGAGCGGGTCCAGTCTGTCCTACTATTTACCCATAGCTGGAGGGGGGCGAAGAAGAGGAGTCATACCTTTCCCAAGGCTGTAAGTGAATGTAATTCACTTACCTGCTAATACCCTTGAGAAAGGTATGAATCCTCTTCTTCTCCATCCAGCTATGGGTAAATAGCAAGACAGACCGAGTCCTATTGCCTTAGATGGCAACTGGTCTACCGCAGAAAGAAATGGCTTTATTGCAGGAAAAAATCGGCCTCATCAGTCATGTATCGAAAGATACATGATCGCCTAAGCGTGTATCACGTATGGCACGTAACTGACTTTCCAGTCAAATCCATTACATTCACTTACGTGCTAATACACTTGGGAAAATGTATGAATCCTCTTCTTCACACCCCAGTTATGGGTAAAATAGCAGGACAGATCTGAGAATCAAAAAGAGGTCAAATTTGAAGTAGAGTATAACAAAAAAAAATCTCTAGGAATTTTGCTGATTTTAAATTCGTATTTCTGTTCTTGGACTCCATTATTTTTCGTTCTTTTGTGGTGCTTCTGAAAAGGAAGATGAAAAGAAAAAGTAATTAAGGCGTTCTCTTGTCAGTGGTCCAAGGTCTGGCTCTCTCCCTTTGTTTGCATGTTCAGTCAACGGATACATATACCGAAAGAAGGACATAAATACGCGCGTTAGAAGAAAGAGAGAGGTGGGTAGAGCGAGGCGGGGTGGGGGAAAAGTGATGGCCGTCACGAAAGAAATGAACGGAAAAGGGACTCTCGCTGGGAATGCCGGACTTTGACCAGAAATGGCGGGATGGGCTTGATTGATCGGGCGAAGGTTAGGGTTAGGGTTAGGAAGAAGGAAATCGATTGGAGGAAAACGAAGAACGGAAACAGCATTTTGAATGATACTTTTTATCATATGATTTATATATTATATTTCTACATTATTAAACGATATATATATATATATATATATATATATATATATATATATATATATATATATATATATATATATAATTGGTATATACGGAATGAATTCCAATAACCAACAATTACTTTTCTTAAAAGAGTGCTCAATACAAAGTAGAGCAGATATAATTATTTTTTATAAAAAAAAATTATAACATAAATATGTTATAAAATCACTAACAATGTTTTCCCTAGCGAAGGATCGTTAATTAATTTGAAACTTTTAAAACCATTTATTTTACAATCAACATCATCACTTGATAAGACACCGAGGGTGTTGAAACAAAATAGCTATTTTTGTAGTGATTTTATAACATATTTATGTTATAAATTTTTTAAAAAAATTATATATATATATATATATATATATATATATATATATATATATATATTTGGTTGGGTTGATGTGAGTTTGTGACCCTGGGTTTCGCGCTTTTGCGATCGTCAGACAAACTGATTAATTTTTAAAAAAGTTTGCGTTTATGTACATTGCGTGTATTGGTGTTATTATGGGAGTGGGGGCAATCGTCGTCGTGATGTCATCGTGCTAATGCAAACATAGATGCATGTCCGTACATCAGATGAGGTACGCAGACACACATACACACTTGCTTGTCCGTCGGGACTCATAAATATATAAACATATGTGGACAGCTTCGGATTTGACATATGTATGTATATGGGTGGTGTTGTGTCTATACATACGCATTTATATGTTGAAATTCAAAGATTGGAAGTGTAGCGAAAATTTCTCGTGAATGTCTCGTGAATGTATAGATGCCAAAAATCAGAGCATTTATCTTTTTTTTCCACTGAATAAAATTTCCTCGCATATGTATATACGTGTGGTGGGGTCTGTGTAAAATTAGGATAGGTAAAAATATTTTTTTTTAATTTTTAAAAAAAGGGTTTATTTTTTAGTATTTTAAAGCTGGTTATTTGCTTGTTTTTGATGACTGTGTATATGTAACTGGTAGAAATTTCGGTTTGTAATCCTTATTGGTTATTTTATTCGCTGTTATTTAATATGCTCGGGGAGGGGGGTATGTTAGCTCTATCTCTGATATTGAGCGCTTTCTAATAAGTACCGCGCATATAATATATAAATAATTATATATATATATATATATATATATATTTATATACACACATTTTTCATATATATATATATATATATATATATATATATCTTACTTATTATAAAACCCAGGTTGTGTGCGTGTGTGTCTCTGTACGTTTATATATTGGATCGGATTTCCTACATTTTTCAACCGATTTCAACAAAACTTCACAGGACTACGTAAAATTACCTTGCGGTGGTTCTGACAGCGCCCAAAAATGGAAAAACACAATTGTTTTTGCACAAAATTAATTTGAAAATACGATGAAACACGATTCTGTCACCAGAATGAAAGGGGGACAACTCATCTCGAGTTATACTTATTATAAAACCCAGGTTGTTTGTGTGTGTCTGTGTTCATTTATATATGGGATCGGATTTCCTACATTTTTCAACCGATTTTAACAAAACTTCACTTTTTTTGGCAGGTAGTGTTTCTTATTGTCTTGCACACTTTTTTCTTTATTTTTACATTCAGAATGCTTTAAAAATTCCATTTAGAAGACAACTGTTTATAATAAAATTCTATTTAATCGGTAGAGACTCATAACGATTGAAAACAATGTTTTTATTTGAGTTTGGGTTTGACCAATTCGTAAAAAAAAAAAAAAAAAAATCTAATTAAGACATGCGTCTCCGTCAACCTTAAACAATAATCTTTGTCAATTTTATTTTTCAGTCTTTATGATGGTCGATACTTGATCTATCTCTTACTGTTACATCCCCGGGCAACGCCGGGCTCTACTGCTATATATATATATATATATATATATATATATATATATATATATATATAAATATAAATATAAGATCACGTGAGAGGCCGAAATATTAACGACAGAACCATATGTCTAGTTGCAATGCATCTTTGTTATTTAACCTCACGTGATTCGACGTCATAGAACCGCATCATGAATTTACGACCTGCGTCTGCTATTCCACGACCATCGCATAGCAATCTTCTATGTCAACGTAACAGAATATCATTTTCGATGGTAAATATATCTTTGTTAAAATGTTCGTATAACCACTCTGATGATGGCTCATATGAGCCGAAAGCTTAGATCAAGGAACAGCATAATAAAAAATATTCAAATGCTGGACAATTTTTGTCTTTATTTTCACCCGAAATACGAAGCTTAGAACGGTTCATGATCAAACATAATAGACATTCATTTACTGTTATATATATAAATATACACCAGTCAGTATCCCGACTTGAGGCGCGTGGAGACATAGCTGTTTACACAGACCTGAGTGACCTCCTCAAAGCCGAAGTCTTGAAAAACCGCCCTAAGGGCAAGAACCACAATAATATCTTAACAACAAAACTAAAAAACGCCACAAAAGAACTAAAACCAACCCTAATATTGTCATCAGACGAGCTAGCAAAGCTAATACATACGTAATTTTGGATAAAGCTGATTACCACAAAAAATTACAAAATATTGTCGATGATCGAACTAAATTCACCAAACTGAAAAGAAATCCCACTGAGACCCTAAAAAAGGCCCGTCAATAAACTAATAACAGTTCAGAACACGGAAATCGTTTCCTGAAAATCCCCCAAATCATTGGAGAATACCAACCTGGATATTTATATGGAAATATAAAACCCCATAAACCTGGTTATCCGCTACGACCAATCATTTCCCAGATCCCAACACCTATCCACGGGCTATCAAAATTCCTGAACAACATCATCACTCCATACCTACCCACTAAATACAGCATCACATCAACCCACGAATCCCTCCAAATTTTAAAAGCTACTAAACAAAACCAAGGTATCATAGCGTCACTTGACGTCGAAAACTTTTTTACAAACGTCCCAGTCGATCAAACCATTGACATTATCTTCAATTCTGTGTGTACTAATAATTCTATTCTTCTGCCATCCATCGAACTATTTATACTAAAAAAAAATTACTACACGCATGCACAACCAAAGCCTTATTCTATGACCATAATGGCAATATTTACATCCAAAAATGGTGATAGTATGAGAAATCCACTGAGTCCATGCTTTTCCAACTATTACATGTCCCACGTAGAAAATACGATATTTACACAGGGCTGTAAACCGAAAATGTATGTCCGCTACGGAGACGATATTTTTATTTTAGCAAATAACGTTAAAGAAATAGATACACTTAAGAGTACATTTGAGAAAAACTCTGTCCTCAACTTTACCTTAGTCAAAAAAACAAACTCCCATTCTTAGATGTGTAGAATATAGTAATAACACTTTTATCACCTCATTATATAAAAAACCCACTAGCAAAAACTCTTGGCGCCTTAACTTTAAAAGTGAATGCCCACTCAGATACAAAAGAACAGTAATAAAAAAAACTTGCTAAAAAGAGCACACCAGAATTCATCCTCTCGACTACTCTTCCTTAAAGAAACGAATAATGTAAAACAGTCACTGATTAACAATGTCTTCCCTAACCAACTTATAGACAACCAAATTAGACTATTTCTCCCCAAAGTAAATAACAACGATAGTTAACATACAGTCAAAAATAACATAAATATTTTCTACAAAAAACAAATACACATTAACTACAATCAATCTTCACTTAGAAATATTATAAAGAAATACACTACCCCAAAAGACCCTAATAAAAAACTCAAATGAATTATCTACTATAAAAAATTCAAGACAGCCAACCTTATCCTCAAAAATAACAACACACCAACAGAGCCAAAATTACAACGAACGAACATTATCTATGAGTTCAAATGCCTCTTAAGGAACTGTGTTCCTGATCAAAACGAATTCATAAATAATTATATCGGTCACACAACTACATGCTTATCTAGACGTCTTACCTTACGCCTAACTGACCAGAGCTTC